AAGTCAACAAGTAAACACCTGCTCTTCTGTGGGGACGGCCTGCTCACCTGGACTAGTCAAAAGCGAACATTGGCTGCCAAATCTACAACTGAGGTCCAATACATATCTGCTGCAAATACCTGCAGTGAACTAGAATGGATTATCTGTCTACTAAAGGTCTTTGGTGTGGATGAATCTAAACCAATAACTTTCTTTGAGGACAGTTTATTTTATTTATTTATCATATTTATACCCCGCCCTCCCCACAGAGCAGGCCCAGGGTGGCATGAGGTGCGCATAGCCTTCTCCAGGAGTGAGACCATGAAGGCAAGAAGGAAGCATATTGTTGCCAAATACTTTTCTGTGAGAGAGATGCAACAACCAGGACTGATTGTGTTAAAATATTGTCCATATGAAGAAATGGTGGCTGATATTCTAACAAAGCCACTTACAAGAGGGGACTTTGAATATCTGTGCAGGAAGCTGTTCCTTCATGATTTCAGTACATGAACTTGAGAAGGGCTGTTGGAGTGTTTACAAGTTCTCTCCCTGATGTGATGAAATAATTAATCTGTTTGTTTGTCTATGCTACCTGGTAGTTAGTTAGGTAGGACCAATGGGTGTCGAATAGAAGTTCCCGCGCTTGAAGGGGAAGACCCTCGCAGAATGAACTGACCTCTAGCCTGGTCATTGGTCAGTCTGTAATTGGGAGATTGCCTGAGTTTTGTCACGTAGGCATTTTGGGTTTCCTTTTCCCTTCCTTTGTACTAAGATCAGATGAGAGCATTCATCTAGGCACCAACAGTTACTGGCAAGATGTTGCTAGGCAGAGAGATCATTTTCTTGTATTCCTCCATGTCACCCTCCCTAATTTCTGGGAGAGCCAGTTTGGTGTCGTGGTTAAGTGCGCGGACTCTAATCTGGGAGAACCGGGTTTGATTCCCCACTTCTCCACTTGCACCTGGCTGGATGACCTTAGGCAAGCCATAGTTCTGATAAGAGCTGTTTTTGAAAAAAAGCAGTTTCTGTCAGAGCTCTCTCAGTCCCGCCTACTTCCCAGGGTGTCTGTTGTGGGGAGGGGAAGGGAAAGGAGTCTGTAAGCCACTCTGGGACTCCTTTGGGTAGTGAAGGGCCATGGGGTATGAATCCAATCTCTTCTTCTCTTCTTCTTTAGTAAATGTTCTTTTAACGAATTCACATGCGTGTGCTGTGTTATTATTTTTGTGTTCCAACCAAGAGGTGCCCATAACTTTAGACAATTCAGTTCCGTATGGTAAATGGCCATGGGACCATTCTGTAGAGAAACAAAGAGCCTATTGCAATGTATTTCGGGGAGGAAAGAGGTATCTTTGTCCAGGGTAATACATGTACCTCTTTGTTTCCCTAAAAGAAAAGGTCCAAGAACAGAACTTACAATTAGGGATCCTGCAGATTTCACCATGAATGTCTTTGACAGTTGCATTTACATGTTTTAAGGTGTGGGTCAGATTATATAGGGCTGCCGTCCTTCAGGTAGGTAAACAACAAAATACAACCATGATAGAATAACCATGTCTTTGTATTATCAAAGCTTAGTGTAACTCCTTCACCTTTTCACAATCGACAAAAGTTTCTATTTACAAACATCCCATCAGACTTCTATGGATGAATACATGCCAACAGATACATCAAGGCAAACAGCCGGCATCTGGTTTATGGCGACACGCAGGCAGACACATCTCCCGGACGTCCCGGGGATGTAAACTGCACACCAGCATGTGGGAGGGGGTCCGACGGGTCGCGACCCCCCTGGAGCCTTGGTAAAAGGCTCCCAGCCAGGGGGCTTTTGAGGGGCGACCTCTTCGAGGGCCGAAGAGGTCCTGCCACTGAGTGACCGCATGGTACGAGTGCTGCTGACCGGGACAAGCGTTGGAGATTGGGCGAAATAAATGATGACGGGCGAGGCTGAATGGCCAACAACAAACTGTGAGTCGGGTTGAAGCGAGAATGAAGATATAAAAAGAAACTGCCCCCCCTAAAGAGCAACGGGAAAGCGAGCGGGGGAGGGATCCCTCCCAAACGCATAGACAAAACACGGAAGGAAAGAGGGGGGAGCGGAAAAATAAGCGATTAAAACTGTTTTAAGAGACTTACCAGAGCGCAGAAAAGAGTTTGGGCACATATCAGAGACTTTGGAAACTACTTTGAAAAGTAAACAAATCCAAAAAGATGGCGGGTGTAATGCATTCAATAGCTGCCATTGAATGCATGATGTATGTGACACATCTAATTGACTTGCCATGTTGAGCTTTGTCCTGGGCTAGGATCCAAATTCATCCAATCGCATTGCTAGCCCTGGAAGCACCTAGCCAATCACCTTACAGCAAGTTCCCTGAGCAGGAACGTCTGTGATTGGCCCTTATATGAACAACCGTATTGGTTGGTATTTGTACAGTGGGTGTGGCTACATTAGCCAGGAGAGTTTAAAAGCAGGACAACTGCAATGTCAAAGCTGAACTGTTCTGTTCTGGCTATCAGATGTTGATCCGTTTTGGAGTTGTGTTTGAGTTGAAGAATAAAGTTGTGTTCTTGCTGAATCACTCTCCGACTGCTTTGTTAAGCGAGCGACTTAATAGCGGGGAAGAAACAGGAGAAAGAGAAGCGGTTGAAATCGAAACTAGGGGCCAGTCCTCGAACGGATGAGGTCACTGAGCTCTCAAAACTCTTAGCAGACTCCCTGCGCCCCCTGCTGGACGAGATCACTGGCATTAAACAACAACTGTCAGTAATTGGGCAGAGTCTCGCTGCGCAGCAGATGCAACTGACCCAAGCCTTAAAAGCAACAGAGCAAATGGAAGAGAAGGTGAAGGAAATGGACGTCACTACTAAAAAAGTTAAGGAAAAGATGCAAAAGCTGGAAATGAAGCAAGCTACAGAAGAGACAAAACTCTTACAGCTACAAATGGATAAAGCAAATTTGGTCCTTCGGTTCCAAGGGGTCCCGGAATTTAGAGGAGAAAATCTGAAGCAACGGTTGAGTGAAGCAATAGCCCCAATGACAGATTTAACAGCGCATTTCATTTGATATAAGACAGAGGAGAAAGAACTATAAAGAATTAATCCTTTTCTTACAAACAAATTCTATCAGTTACAGATGGTTAATCCCAGAAGGCGTCGTTTTCAAGCTCCACAATAAAAAAAAGAAAAGATTGACTCTGTTTTCAAAGCACGGGAATTTCTGCAAACACAGCTTGGGGAACCAGAGGAGGGCAAAGGGGAGGAAGAAGAAAGCCAGTCTGATGGCGAGTTGGGCTCGGGGACTTCGGACGAGGACTCCCCTTCAGAAAAGGGGGCAGCTGCCCCCAAAAGCCTATATAGACTGAGGATTAGAAAAGATAAGAACAAATAAGGGCTGAAGGTCTCTGATGTGTGCCTGAAAAAAATGTTGAAATAACTTGGGGATGCTCTGGGGATCTCTATAAACAGTTAAAGGGATGGTTAAATAATAATAATCTAGCATAACCGACTAAATTTGTTGTATTATTGATTGTTTTTTTTAAAATAGCATGATGATAAGCTGAGATATCGATCTCCTACGCTTGGGTTTTTAGTTAGGTGTGGGTTTCTTTTCTGTTTCCCCTAGTTGTAGTACCCTTCCCTATACTTTCTGTTGTAGTTTTGTAGTCTGCAAAAAAACCAATAAAAACCTCCCCCTAGGGGGATTGGGAAAAAAAAAGGCAATCAGTCCTATTTTGTGGTCTGTTTTCTTTTCCCTTTTCTGTGTTATAGGTTGCATCCACACACGTGAGAGAACGCGGGGGAGGGGGGGAAGTGAGCCTGTTTGCTCCGCAGGAATTTGACCCACATTTATGCGATCACACAGTCCCTGGGAGCTGCGGAGGCAGCCCGGCACTGCATGATCAGAGGCAACCGTGGGTGAATTTGTTGGGGTTTTTTTGGCCATGTGTTTCCGGTGTGCTTCGACAAGGATCGACGATTTGCATCTCTGCACTGAGTGCTCCCTATGCAGTGTGCGATGATGCACATACCGAAACAGGGGGGAAAACAACGGCACGGAGTTGGGATGGCCTGATCAGACCATCCCAACGCCACGGGAGCGTGCTGGAGCGCTCACACAGTGGAAAGTCTGTTCCTGGCCCGTAGCGACCCGTTTGCTACCAGACTTTCCCCAGTGTCTTTTTACTCCGCTTCTGCGGCAGAGTGAAACGGGTTGCCGACGGGTGCAGGATGCTTCCCAGATGTTAGCATCTGACTGTGCCCTTAAAATCCGCCTGTCAGCTATGCTGCCATGGGGGTTGGGGAGTTCATTCTGTGTCTTGTTATTTGCTATTGCATTCCTATCCCTGCTGTTCTGCCTGTGCTGAAACGCTTATCTCTACAGATGTGCAGGAGGAGGTTGTATTGTCTGGAAGTCTCCTATGTACCATGAGAGACTCCTACTTCCCAGCTTTCGCCACCTAACAGTTTCCTAACTTGTCCCGCGCGCGGGAGGGTATCTAATTGGCCCATGCCATGGGGGGAGGTGCATATGAATACCCTATATCCTATTAGGCTCTACTGGCTGGGGCCATTCCTAACAGTGCCTGTGTTCCTGCATCTATAGCTTTGCAATAAAAGTATAACTCTTCCTGAATGCGTGTGCTTCGTTGTTAGCTGTGGGTTCTGACACCGCCCAGCATTCGCACCTTTGGCGCAGCTAATTCTGCGTGTGATTGCACCCATAGTTTTACATAGCACCTCCTGCGACGGGGACTGCAGTGGGACCCCATTTGATGGAATGTTTGTAAATAGACGGGCGGCATTACCATGGGCAGCCACAAGAGGGCAGCAAAAGGCAGTCATAGGCAACGCTCCCTCTAAGCTGTGGAGTCTTGTGAGCAAAAACTGTACTTTGTGAGCTACGGGCATTAAAAGTTGTGAGCGAGTGACTTGGCTACATGGCATAAATCAGTTTGCTCCGGAGCCCTCCTCCCTGAGCCAAGACAAAAACGTGTGAGCTGGAGGCTAAAAAACTGTGACCTAGCTCACACGGACTCAGCTGAGAGGGAACACTGGCTATAGGACTAACGGCCAGACTCAAATGGATCCCAGCAACGGCTGCCCTTGGGGGGTGGTGGCGCTGGCCCACCCTCCCCCAGGGGCCCCTCTCCGAGAAAGGGCCTGCCCGGGCTGTCCTTGGTGTTGCAGGCCTTCAAATCCGTGGCCAGAACGGACAGGTCTTGCAGACAGGCTGTCTTACGAGAGGCTGCCTTTGTGATGGTCTGGAGGAGAAGGAGCGATCCGTTCCACAGGGACCCACAACGCTCTCCCTGGTTGCTCCCCCCCCCCAAGAAGGCAGCCCTGAATTTGGGTGCCGAGCATCTCAGTGGCAGAGCCTCTGCTTGGCGTGCAGGAGGCCCCAGGTTCAATCCCCAGCATCTCCAGTTCAGTCCTGCATAGAGAGGACCGGGTAGCGGGTGAGGTGAAAGACCTAAGGCCCTGGAGAGCACACCATGCTGACCGCGATGCACCCAGGGTCTGAGTCAGTCAAAAGGCAGATTTGTGTATCCCCCACCCCCCGGCTTTTGGAACTGCGCGCCCTCACAGAAGAACCGGCTCTGAGGAGGTCCCCGCCAAGAGGGTGCTTGTATTCCCTAAACAGCCCACCACCCTTGTGGCTGCTCTGGGTTCAAAGGGGTAGCTGGATCCCAACAGGGGAGAGGGATGGATCCTGTGCAGGAGACGATGGGGAGCCGCTTCATGCCCGCGAGGAGAAGTCCTGAACGAGAGTGCGGCGCCTGCGTCCTTCTCAGCCCAAGCAGGCCGCGGAGCGTCTCGTTCTTCCCGGCGGCTCACAAGGGGAACCTTGCAAGGAAGGGGGGCTCCCCCTCCCCCACAGTGCACCAGTCCAACTCCCCAGCGTCATTTGCCTCCGCAGGCACAAGGAGACGGGTTGTTCTTCGGCCGCTGAGCCACGCCTCGCCCCGCCAATGCCCACAGCCGGGCACGGGCAGCTTCCTGGCCTGGGCGGCTGCCTTCTGTCCCTGCTCCGCTCCCTGGCTGGATTTGGAGGCAGTTCATGGAGGAGCCGGTGAAACAGCACTTCTCTGCTCCTGAACACTCCTGGTCGTGGAGGCAGGTGTCCGCGGAAGGGCCCGCGCTCTTCTGTGGCTGCCTCTTGGGGCATCTCCCGGGTTTCTCTGTAAGACATGGGGAGGAGGGCGGGGGGGTCAGTCCTAAATACTGTGTCAAGCCCAGAGTGGGTGGGGGTCAGGCACCTAGAAGCCCCTTCCAGTGGTTTCAGGCTGGAACACTTTCCCTATGAGGAAAGGTGAAAGCGCTTGGGGCTCTTTATCTTGGAGAAATGACGGCTGAGGGGGTGACGTGATCGAGGTTTATAAGATTATGCATGGGATAGAGCAGGTAGAGAAAGAGGTCCTTTTCTCCCTTTCTCACAATACAAGAACTCCTTGTGGGCACTCCATGAAATTGCTGAGTGGTCGGGTTAGAACGGATAAAAGGAAGTCCTTCTTCACCCAAAGAGTGATTAACACTTGGAATTCACTACCACAGGAGGTGGTGGCGGCTACAAGCATGGACGGCTTCAAGAGGGAATTAGATAAACATCTGGAGCAGAGGTCCATCAGTGGCTATTAGCCACAAGGTATAGATAGGGGCTCTGGGGCAAGGGATGCCCTGTCTTCTTGGTGCTTGGAGGGGCAATAGTGGGAGGGCTTCTGGAGTTCTGGCCCCACTGCTGGACCTCCTGATGGCACCTGGTATTTCTGGCCACTGTGTGACACAGAGTGTTGGACTGGAGGGGCCATTTGCTTGATCCAACATTGGCTTCTCTTGTGTTCGTATGAGGAATGGTTTGAATGCCAGACCAAGGGACACACTTTCCCTGGGGCACATTATGCACCCCCCCGTGGCCTGTTCTGGGAAACGAATCAGTTGTCCCAGAGAATTAATGTCAACGTCTACCCCGGGCACCCCGGGGGCTGGATCCTCCCGCAGGGCCGCCGCCACTGACCTGGAAGGGGAAGCCTGCAGGTCCGTCCACAGGGGCTCTCACAGCACTTCTGGGCCCCGGAGCACTCCTCGTCTGCCGCGCAGGTGGTCACACATGGGGCAGGCACATACAGCTTCTTCATTAGTGGGGAGGGGCAGATCCCAGGCTTATCTGGGGGAGGACAGGAAGGGGGCGGGGAGTCAGCAGTCATCCATGGCTGGAAAGCAAACCCACCGGCTACCCCAAGCCCTGGGTCCTGGACTGGGATGGGAACACATCCCCCCCCTGGCCACTGGGGCGAGATGGGTTGCCAGATCCGGGCCCTGGAGATTTGGGGGTGGAGCCTGGGGAGGACGGGGACTGCAGTGGGGCGCAGGGCCACAGAGAGTCCCTCCCTCCAAAGCCACCATTCCCTCCAGGGGAGCTGATTTATCTGTTGTTTGGAGATGGGCTGTGATTCCGGGGGATCCCCAGGCCCCACCTGGAGGCTGGCACCCTTACATCCAGCGCAGGGCAAGGGAAGCTTGAGCTTGGCACCACCTGGCAGAGGAGGGCACACTGGGGGTTGTCTGCCCCATGCTTGGCTTCTATGCCCCCCCTCATGCTTCCCCAGAGCCGCCCCGCCCCCTGCCCACCCTCAAGCTGCCCTCGCTAACCCCGTCCATCTGCTGAAAGGTGGTGATTTGGATGCCGGACTAAAAGCAGGGAGTTCTGGGTTCCGATCCCCACTTGCAATGAGCCTCACATTCCTGGGAAGACAGAATCATAGAATGTCAGAGTGGGAAGGGACCTTGCAGGTCATCTAGTCCAACCCCCTGCACTCTGCAGGAGCACAGCCGAAAGAGAGCCCTACAACAGACCCGGAAGAGGGTCATCCAGCCTCTGTTTGAAAACACCCAGCGAAGGAGCTTCCACCCCCCTCCCGAGGCAGACTGTTCCACTCTGACAGTTAGGAAGTTTCTCCTGATATTTAGCCAGTATCGACTCCCTTGTAATTCCCACCCATTAGATCTAGTCTTGCCATCCGGAGCGAGAGAGAATAGATCCGCTCCATCTCCTACATGACAGCCCTTCAGATACTTGAAGACTGCAATCATGTCCCCTCTAAGCCTTCTCTTTCCCAGGCTAAACAGACCCAACTCTTTCGGCCTTTCCTCATAAGACTTGGATTCCAACCCCCTCACCATCCTGGTTGCCCTCTTCTGGACACGCTCAAGCCTGTCAACATCCTGCCTCAAATGTGGTGCCCAAAACTGGACACAGGACTCCAGGTGAGGCCTGACCATAGCAGAAGAGAGTGGAATGACCACCTCCCGTGACCTGGAGACAAGGCTTCTGTGAATGCACCCTAAGATTGCATTAGCTTTCTTTGCAGTCACGTCCGAAAGCGAGACCCAGGGCAGCTCCTCCCCAGCTGAGGCTACCCCCTCAGGCCTGGGAGTTGGGGGGAGGGGGACAACACTCAGCAGGGGTCTTCCAGACAAGCTGAAGCTGGACAGCTACTGTGGCCAAAGCCTGCCTGGAAACCGGAATTTCTATCCCCAATCCCAGAACTCCTTACAGGTGCAGGGAAGGGCACTCTGCACACGCACATTCGTACTCATGCCTTCACTGTCACTTTGCTCTGTCCCAGGGCTGGCTGAGCTCTTCCCGGCAGCAGCCTTTGTGGGGTCCATTCCCCACCGGGCCCGGCCCACCAGGAGCCCGCCCCCTCCCCTCCACCCAGCGACTAAATTGCCGAGCGGTCGGGTTAGAACAGATAAAAGGAAGTCCTTCTTCACCCAAAGAGTGATTAACACGTGGAATTCACTGCCACAGGAAGTGGTGGTGGCTACAAGCATGGACGGCTTCAAGAGGGAATTAGATAAGCATAATCAGTGGCTATTAGCCACAAGGTATTGATAGGGGCTCTGGGGCAAGTGATGCTCTGTCTTCCTGGTGCTTGGGGGGGGGTGTCAACAGTGGGAAGGCTTCTAATGTCCTGGCCCCACTGGTGGACCTCCTGATGGCACTGGTATTTCTGGCCACTGTGTGACACAGAGTGTTGGACTGGATGGGTCTTTGGCCTGATCCAACATTGGCGTCTCTTATGTTCTCAATATGGAGCAGAGGTCCATCAGTGGCTCTTAGCCACAAGGTACAGATAGGGACTCTCAGTCTGGGGCAAGTGATGCTCTGCCTTCTTGGTGCTTGGGGGGGCCAACAGTGGGAGGGAAGGTATAGATAGGAAATTGGATAAACATATGGAGCAGAGGTCCATCAGTGGCTCTTAGCCACAAGGTATAGATAGGAACTCTCGGTCTGGGGCAAGGGATGCTCTGTTATTCTTGGTGCTTGGGGGGGTGGGGGCAACAGTGGGAGGGCTTCTAATGTCCTGGCCCCACTGCTGGACCTCTTGATGGCACCTGGTCTTTTTGGCCACTGTGTGACAGGGAGTGTTGGACTGGATGGGCCACGGGCCTGATCCAACATTGGCTTCTCTTATGTTCTCACCTCTGCTGGGCGGTGTGCAGCTGTGGCGGCAGGCGAACTCGCAGCACTTCATGGCCCCCTCGCACTCGCTGTCCGCCTCGCACTCCACGCTGCAGGGCGGCTGGTAGAGTCCAGCGGAGAAGGCGGGGCAGTAGCCGGATTTCCCTGCAAGCAAGAGAAGATGGCTGGGTCTAGGGTTGCCAACCTCCACGTGGCGCCTGGAGATCTCCCGCTGTTCTATGGGATCTCCAGATGACCAGGGGTCCCCGGGAGAAAGGGGCTGCTTCGGAGGGTGGATTCGAGAGCATCAAGCCCCATCCTTTCTCCCCTCCCAAACCCTGCCCTCCCCACAGCCTCCACCCCCAAACCGCCAGGAGTTTCCCAAACCAGAGATAGCAACCCTAGCTGGGACAGTACATAGAAGAAGAGATTGGATTTATACCCCACGGCCCTTCACTACCCAAAGGAGTCTCAGAGCGGCTTACAAACAATGTGGAGGAGTGGGGGATCAAACCCGGTTCTCCCAGATTAGAGTCCGCGCACTTAACCACGACACCAAACTGGCTCACTGGTAGGTGGGGGTGAGAGAGCTCTCTCGAGAACTGCCCTTGAGAGAACAGCCCTGAGAGAACTTGTAACTGACCCAAGGTCACACCAGCAGCTGCATGTGGAGGAGTGGGGGATCAAACCCGGTTCTCCCAGGTTAGAGTCCGCGCACTTAACCACGACACCAAACTGGCTCACTGGTAGGTGGGGGTGAGAGAGCTCTCTCGAGAACTGCCCTTGAGAGAACAGCCCTGAGAGAACTTGTAACTGACCCAAGGTCACACCAGCAGCTGCATGTGGAGGAGTGGGGGATCAAACCCGGTTCTCCCAGATTAGAGTCCGCGCACTTAACCACGACACCAAACTGGCTCACTGGTAGGTGGGGGTGAGAGAGCTCTCTCGAGAACTGCCCTTGAGAGAACAGCCCTGAGAGAACTTGTAACTGACCCAAGGTCACACCAGCAGCTGCATGTGGAGGAGTGGGGGATCAAACCCGGTTCTCCCAGGTTAGAGTCCGTGCTCCTAACCACTCCCTGTGTGAAACGCCATCTCCCCTGCATTTGCAGCAAGGATGAAAGCAAAGTGGAGAATCCCGGCCATGTGGAAACACACACAGTGATAATCTCAGATGAAGCGGAGGTCAGACGGAGTAAGATGGGTGAAGTGCCTGGGAGCAAAGCTCCCTCTAAGCTGTGTGGAGTCTTGTGCGCAAAAATCCTACTTTGTGAGCTGCTGGCATTAAAGAAGAAGAAGAGATTGGATTCATACCCCACCCTTCACTACCCCCAAAGGTGTCTCAGAGCGGCTGACAAACTCCTTTCCCTCCCCCTCCCCACAACAGACACCCTGTGAGGTGGGTGGGGCTGAGAGAGCTCTGACAGAAACGGCTCTTTTTCAAGGACAGCTCTTAGCAGAACTATGGCTTGCCCAAGGTCATCCAGCAGGTTCAGGAGGAGGAGTGGGGAATCAAACCCGGTTCTCCCAGATTAGAGTCCGCGCACTTAACCACGACACCAGACTGGCTCTGCCCAAGGAGAAGAGATTGGATTGATACCCCACCCTTCACTACCCAAAGGTGTCTCAGAGCGGCTGACAATCTCCTCTCCCTTCCCCTCCCCACAACAGACACCCCCTGTGAGGTAGGCGGGGCTGAGAGCTCTGACAGAAACGGCTCTTTTTCAAGGACAGCTCTTAGCAGAACTATGGCTTGCCCAAGGTCATCCAGCAGGTTCAGGAGGAGGAGTGGGGAATCAAACCCAGTCCTCCCAGATTAGAAGAAGAAGAGAAGAGATTGCATCTATTCCCCGCCCTTCACTACCCGAAGTTGTCTCAGAGTGGCTTACAAACTCCTTTCCCTCCCCCTCCCCACAACAGACACCCCATGAGGGAGGTGGGGCCGAGAGAGCTCTTGACAGAAACTGCTCTTTTTCATGGACAGCTCTTGTCAGAACCACGACTTGTCCAAGGTCATCCAGCCAGGTGCAAGCGGAGGAGGAGTGGGGAATCAAACCCGGTTCTCCCAGATTAGAGTCCGCGCACTTAACCACTGCACCAAACTGGGTGGAGCGAAGCCAGCCCACAGCTGCTCCCTGCCCCCACCAAGCACAACTTCGGCACGCCCCGCCTGCCTGGCCAGCCAGGAACTCACCGATCTTCTCCTCCTCCTCCCCATAGTCTGAGGCCTCTCCTCCACCCCACAGCGCCAGGAGGCCCAGGAACCACCAGAGAGCCTCCGGCTTCATGGTGCTCTTGGGATCCAGGCTGCAGTGCCAGTGGCCAGGAGGCAGCCAGGCCCATCTTTAAATTGCTTCCTGGGTGGGGCCGACTCCCACTGACCTGACCTGGCTCTCTCGGCTCCTCCTCCCCGTGTTTATGGATGGATCCCAGGGATGTGGGCCATCTCAGGACCAAACAAAGGAGAGGGGGGGGGGGGGGGGGGGAAGCAAAGCTCAGCCTGAAATGTACTGGAAATGCTACAAGGCTCAAGCTACAGCAAATAAAATGACAACAAAATAAATATTTCTTATATGGTGCACTCTGTTTGGTGCAGTGGTGAACTAACTCTAATCTGGGAGAACCGGGTTTGATTCCCCACCCCTCCACTTGCACCTGGCTGGATGACCTTGGGCAAGCCGTAGTTCTGATAAGAGCTGTCCTTGAAAAAGAGCAGTTTCTGTCAAGAGCTCTCTCAGCCCCGCCTACGTCACAGGGTGTCTGTTGTGGGGAGGGGAAGGGAAAGGAGTTTGTAAGCCACTCTGAGACTCTGAGTGAAGGGCGGGGTAGAAATCCAATTCCTCCTCCTCCTCCTCCTCCTCCTCTTCTTCTTCTGTAAAATTAAAAACACAGGGCCTGATGCTCTCCTCCAGATGCAAAGAAGCATCTTCTAGGCCTGCAGCGGGAGGCACTTCCTATCCCGGCAGGCAGCTGTTCTCCACATCAGTCAGAGGGAACACAGGCTGGTATTTGCCAAGATGAGCGAACATGAGCAGAAAGGGCAAGAAGAGACAGGAAATGACCACTCAGATGGGGGTCCGTGCAAATGAATCCTGAATCTGGAAACTGGTCAGTACAGTCCAGAAAAATCTACCCTGGCTGGGCTGGAAGGTCATAGAATCATGGAATGTTAAAGTTGGAACTGGGACCTTGCAGGTCATCTAGTCCAGCCCCCTGCATTCTGCAGGAGCACAGCCGAGAGAGAGCCCTACAACATACCCGAAAGATGGTCGTCCAGCCTCTGCTTGGAAACGTCCGGCGAAGGAGCACCCACCACCTCCCGAGGCAGTCTGTTGCACTGCTCAACCACCCTTACAGTCAGGAAGTTTCTCCTGATATTTAGCCGGTATCGACGCCCTTGTCATTTCCACCCATTCGATCTAGTCTTGCAATACGGAGCAAGAGAGAATAGATCCGCTCCCTCTTCTACAGGACAGCCCTTCAGATATTGGAAGACTGCAAGTATTCAAGTAGTTCAAGGTCTTGGGCAGTGATCCTTCCTGGCTGACAGGCATGAGGGACCTGCTGGGAAAGGCCCACGGGCCACCCCTCATCTGAGTCACCCCCTCATGCCCCCAAAGCCCAGCCAAGCTGTCCATTTCAAGATGCTTGCTGAGTGGTGACGACGAGAGCAGCCCCCAGGGTCTCTTCTGGGTCCTAGCTGCCCCCCCCCTGTTCACTGCTCCCATCTGTGGCCCCTCAGGGAGGGGAGAGTCTGCGAGGGCCGAACAGGCACATGGCTGCCCATTTACGGGGTCCCTCATTGCACTGCAAGACAGGCCCACGCCTGCACCCCTCTATCCAGGGAGGAGCTTGAACGTCTCTCCCCCGTGTGCCACGGATCTCCCTGCCCCCAGCCAAGTCGTGGGAGAAGTCGGCCTTTGGGAAGGAGGAACAGGAAAATGGCCCCTCTTGGGAAATGACCTAAAAGACAGCCTTGCCAGGAATTACTCAGACCCATAGTTATGGTGGGGCATTTGGGTGCTCCGCCCCCATTCTTAAAAGCACAGCCCCACAAGGATTTCTCCTGTAAATGCTTTCCCCAATCATTTTAGCACATATTTTAAAAGGTGTGCACTCCTTCAAGCAGAGGTGGGTGCTGTAGTTGTCTAATTCCTGCACTGAGCATGGGGGTTGGAGTAGGTGACCTCTAGGATCCCGTCTAACTCTGTGTCAAGAAACTAGTTTTGTTAGCTATAGATTACTACTCTTTCCTCCCATATCCCATAAGCCTTGTTTGGAGGTCTTTTACTGTAGCCGTTGTTTATTACGTCACCAATTGCCAGTTGTACTAGGTTTCAATATCATACTAAGTTTGGTGATAACAAAGCTATGTTTCATGTTAAATTGTTTCACAGAAATCTCTATCTCAGGGGTACAGTAGGATAACCCCCATTATGTGTTTTTAAGCATGTTATTCCAATTGTTGTTATTGTTACCTCATTGTTTCACTTAATAAAAACTGTTATTGAAAAAAAAAAGAAACTAGTCTCCTTGAAGACACTTTTTCTGCTTAAGTGTTGGCTTTCTTGGCTATAGAAGCCATCACCCCCACCTTCCGGCTTGTTCTCAGAATTGTTGCTTAGGCTAGAAGAAGTGAGTAACTTGCAGCAGCTGAGAACTGTCATCTAAAGTGGTGGACAGCTTGCAATTTAGAGATCTATCCTGGTAACAGCTTTCTATTGGCTAAATGGCTCTTCTTTCTGCACTGAGAACTTCAGCTCCACCAGAAAAAAAATTGCCCCACGAGCCACAAACTCCTGGCTACGGGCCTGGAATTATCACATTGGGTCATTCGTTGTTATGGACAGTCCAGAAGTTATCATGCTCAGCCTGTTGAATTCCTGCATTTTCTGTAAAACTAAGCAGGAGCCTGGTGGCACCTTAAAGGCAACCAACATTTATTCCAGCCTGAACTTTGTTGAGTCATAGCTCAAATCCTCAGATGCCTGAATGGCACATCCATGAGGTCAATGCTTTAATATTCACAGAATATTAAATGTGCATGCATATTAAATGGAAACATGCGTGCCTGAATACGTACGGGGTGCGTGTTACAAAAAGAGCTTGGCCTTAAAACCACATCTGCTCAGAACGGATGAGGGCCACTCCCAGCTGATAGGCAGCCTACGATTAACATAAAATGTAGTGCAGGATAAAGCAAAATAATCAGACATAAGAGGAAGTTACAGATGAACTAAGGGTGAATTATGGAAGACATTACACCTATAATGAGTATGGAATCCCATGTCTTTATTTAAGACCGGGGGGGGGGGGGAGAAAGAAACAATCCTGAACTGGCTAATGAATTCTAATTCTGCAATTTCTTGTTGGATTTTCCTTTGACTTCCTTTGAAGGGGATCAGCAACAGAATGCATTGGAAGGACAAAATGTTCGCCCCTTGGCTTCTGAATATTGCAGTTTTAATGTCGGATTTGTGTACATTTTCCCTTTTGCACAGAAACTGACATGCACATTGTTATGTACTGGGACTGGAACATTCCAGGACTGTTTCTGCCAGAGACTGGTTGAGCTTGGAGCTCTAGAACAATAGCCCACCAGGACTCGGGAGGTGACCAATGAGGAATTAAAGGTTCTGACAATGGCCTATCATTAGTAGCTGTTTGGGGAAGCGGATGGAGTTGCATGCTATTTAAACAGGGCCGTTGCCACGGCTTTTTGTTTTTTGTTCTTGCCGACTCATTAATAAAGGAGAGCTGATCATTGGGCTTGGGGTCAGACCTTCTATGGAACCCAGTATTTAACACATATTCACTGTGGATAGCAGAAATTGTCAGACGAAAGAACGTCAAAGGGAGACTTCAGAGCGAAATTGCTGAATTAGAGTCCCGGTCACACGGGCCGGAAAATGCACACGCGCGCGGGGGGGGGGGGGAGAGGTGGTGTTTGGCCCAAGGGAAACCCAGAGCAAAGTAACATGCGGCAGCCCAATCACATGTCCCGTGGAGATCCCATGGGTATGCCGTTAGGTGCCGATAACACCGCTATCCTGCAGCACAGCAAAGAAGCGGCGCGATGCAATCACATTGGCAATCGCTAGGCGCCACTTCTGTGGCAAACGGGAATTTTTCCCCCTCACCAAAGTGTGCGCATGTGCCAGTGGGCGTTTGTGCACATCCTGTGGAGACTTTAAAAAAACCAAACATCCGGTTTGCGATGGGACATGGGCGGGCACCGGATGCCACGGATTCCAGCAGAAACGCAATCAGACACCCGCCCTTGCCCCGCGCTTTTTGGAAACTAGTACATCGTATGTACTAATTTTTTACTCTGTATCTTCGGCAAGAAGCCACGGGTTAGCCATGGGTGCACTACGCTTCCCAGATGTTGCGGTGTGATCGCACCTGGAAAATCCGCCTATTATCCGTATCTTTAGCGCGGCAAATCGTCCGTGTGAATGGGACCTAGAATTAAGAAAAGAAGAAGAAGAGGAAGAAGAGAAGGAGGAGATTGGATCTATACCCCACCCTTCACTCAGAGTCTCAGAGCGGCTTACGATCTCCATTCCCTTTCTCTCCTCCCCACAACAGACACTCTGTGAGTCAAGTGTGGCTGAGAGAGCTCTGAGAGAATTGCTCTTGAGAGAACAGCTCTGAGAGAACTTGTAACTGACCCAAGGTCACGTCAGCAGCTGCATGTGAAGGAGTGGGGAATCAAACCCGGTTTTACCAGATTAGAGTCCGCTGTTCTTAACCACTACACCAAAGATCCCTTCTGGAACAGACCAGTGGTCCATCTAATTCAGCATCCTGTCTCAGACAGCAACCAACTCTCTGAAGGACTAACAAGAGGGCTGTTGCGTACTGCATAGAGGCAGAGACCTTTCTCTGATGTTGCCTTCTGGCACTGGAATTCACAGCTTCACTGCCCCTGAATGAGGAGGTTCCCTTGAGTCACCATGGCTAGTAACCACTAATAGAACCATCCTTCATGAATCTGTCTGATCTTTTAAAGCTGTCTAGGCCAATGGCATCTACTTCTGCTTCATTGACTATGCTAAAGCCTTTGACTGTGTGGATCACAACAAACTATGGTAGGTCCTACCAGACCACCTCACATGTCTCTTGAGAAACCTGTATAAGGGTCAAGAAGCAACAGTTAGAACCGGATATGGAACAACTGATTGGTTTAGCATAGGAAAAGGAGTACGACAAGGATGTATATTGTCACCTTGCTTATTTAATATATATGCAGAGTACATCATGCGAAATGCTGGCCTGGATGAATCACAAGGGGGAATTAAG